CTGTTATGGATGAGGACCAATGTCAGCATCACCTGGGAACTTGCTGGACATGAAATTCTTGGCCCCACCATGGATCTTCTGAGTCAGACACTTTAGAGGCAGGATCTGGTGATCTGATTTGCATTTTAACCAGCCCTCCAGGGGATGCCTGTGCTGAGAACAGTGGTAGATAATGTCCCTACTGTAGGGTAGATCTTCACTGATTATTTCTTATGGGTCCTTTCAGTAAAAGGCAAACACATTACTACAAACATTAAGTTGAAATAACACATTTATATTCCCTGTCAATTAATTTCTCTGATTAAATTTCATATTTGGTGATTAGGACAGATGTGTGTATTTCCACACTGGGAATTGCAATGGGGAGGGAGTCGATCCATCCTGAAGTCTAGAACTTAGGACTCCTTGACAAGCGTTCACAAGCTCTTTGAGGAGACAAGGACTGATGTTAACTGGTCATCCGACACTTTATCAAGCTGCCACAGAAACGATGTATAGGCACGGTCTGTGACGAAAGAAACCAGATGCCATTTTAAGACTAAATCCTTATAAACTATTACTATTTGTATGACTGGAAATCACCTTTATCTTTCATGTTTTATAAAGCAAATCAGGCCAGACGCAGTGGCTCACGCCGATAATACCAGCACTTTGGGAGGCTGAGATGAGAGGATTGCCTGAGTCCACAAGTTCGAGACCAGCCTGGGCAACTTGATGAGACCTCATCTCTACAATAAATCAAAAAATTAGCCGGGAGTGGTGGTGTATGCCTGTAGTCCCAGCTGCTTGGAAGGCTGGGGCTTAAGGATCACCTGAGTCCAGCAGGTTGAGGCTGCAGTGACCACGAGCAGTGTGCCACTGCATGCCAGTCTGGGCGACTGAGTGAGACTCCAACTCAAAACAAACAAAAACAGGAGATATTACTACATGAAACTATTCTGGCAGTACAGTATAACTTAAGCCCACATTTGAGCACTAAACTAATGCCTCTTATAGACAGAAGTATCTGTCAAAGTCTATCACTGAAATAACTTACAGTTTACTGCATTAATATCTTGTAGACCTTTGAAATCAAATTATTTAGGTGAGCGTGTGAAATCACAAGGGGGTCATAAGTAGTGACCGAGATGGCAAGTGAGGGGTCTGGTACCAGGAGAAAGAGAAAGTGAAGTGTTTAGAGTCTCAAAAGAAAAATTGACATGGGATAATGAATAATTATAAACATAAACATTGCAAATTTAAATTTCTGTAAGAATCTGATCATAAAGGAAGTAATAGATTTTGGACTTCAGATTAACTTTCTTATATCTGTTTTAGGTATAAAACATTCTGGATGGCTATTTTAATCTAAGCAAAATTTTTGTGTAAACTCTGAACATTAAACAAAATATTTTATCATTTATATGTATTTAGAATGTATCATTTTGCCATAAAATTGAAAATCTAATTTCCTGACAATTTATTGAGACATTAAACAAAAATCTCATTGTAGAGTCACATTATATGTTTATAACCTCTCATTTTAATTAGATATTTTTTATTTTGGCTGCTACACTAATTATTATTTTAATTAAATTTTTATGACTAGTGCTCATTTTAATGTATTAAATGTTATTCCTAACGAATGGAAAGTAGTTTAACATTATCTGACATACTCTGGAGCTTTTGTAAAGTTAATTTTTCTCCAAGGATGGATTTTAAAAATGCTTCAACCTCATAGATTTAGAGCCAAAGCCATGTCAGTTTAACTTGAACTCTCAGTGACCCAAGAAGAAGATTACTAGCAGCTTTATTGGGCCAGAGACTATTGTCCTGAGTCTAATAAAATTCTTACTGTCCAATAAGTCTTCAATAATTCAGCCCATCCTCATTCTCCTCTTTTCAAGTTTGCAGTAAGAAGAACAACCATTAGATGTAGGTCTCATCAGAGACCTGCCTGTTCCCTCCAGGGATCAGTGTCCTGTAGGGAGATGTGTGAGCATAGGGCACTCTCCTTTCATGGCTCATACCCCATTTGTAATCATAGATGTGTGTGATTATTTAATTAATGTCTGTCTTCTCTAACAGGACACATGTGACAAAAGGGTGGGTACAGTGTCCAACTGGCACACCCCGTACCCTGCACTGTGCCATGTCCTTGTCTGTAATACATATGATGAACATTTGCAGACTAAATACATGAAAATTTTAGCTGGGAACACAATGGCAAGCTTCATTATATCTACCTTGCCCTAAATCCAAATGGTGGACATTAAGAAAGATTAAGTCCTAATTCTTATTCACATTTTAGTTACATTGTTTATCATATTTCAGTTCGAATATTTTAGGTAGAAAAGTATGCTTTGATTTCATAAGCAATTGGTGCATTTGCAATGAAAATGGACAAGCCGCTATACAATACCAAGGCATGCAGGATATGCTTAACACTAAGGAATAGTAGTTGTCTGGGACACAAAGCCCAACCTGGAAGAGCCACAGGACTTGCAGGACAATAGGGCTTCCAACAAACAGGCCTCATATCCAGTATAGGGAGAGCCTTGGAATGTGGCATGGACTTTCCCTCTGATGTTTTTCTCCCACCTTGTTAAATCTTCTATTTCTGGCTGGGCTCTGTGGCTCAGCCTGCAATCCCAGCACTCTGGGAGGCCAAGGCAAGTAGATTGCCTGAGCCTGAAGGGTTCAAGACCAACTTGAGCAACTTTGTGAGCCCTCGTCTCTACAACAAATAAAACATTAGCCAGGCATGGTAGCGCACGCCTGTAGATCCGGCTACTTGGAAGGCTGAGGCAGAAGGATCTCTGGAGCCCAGTGGGTCGATGCTGTGGTGGCCATGAGTGTGCTATTGCACTCCAGCCTGGGCAACAGAGTGAGACTCCAACTCAAAAAAAAAAATCTTCTATTTCTTCTCTTAATTTCTATCTCTTTATTTCCCATTTCCTTGAATCCAGGAGTCACAGGATACATGGGATATTTATTTGGATCATATGTTCCTGTTCCTACTCTGGAGGGGGAACCTTGACACTTTTCCCTTAAATTCATTTTTAGGTACAAATAAGTCAGAATCCCCCTGATTTGAAGATACTCCATCATTTTAAGTATTATATATTTTTAAAAGATTTGGTGACATTAGAACATTTTTCTCAGACAAGCAGTGTTCATTTAACCCCTCCCAATCCAAAGGAGAAGGGTAGATGGCAAGGCGGGGGTCACTCCCTCCTGGTTGTCCATTTCCCCACTCAGCATTCTTTGACAAACTCCAGGTCACCTCTGCATCCATTCTCATGCTGGTCACACCACATTCTACTCACTTTGCCCTGTACTTGTCATACGAAGAATTCTGAGTTCCCAAGTTCCCTTCCCCTACCCCTCCCCTTTCCTCCCCACCTATTCTCTCTGCACCCAGATCTGGGTTACCCAGCAAGCTGACTCACAGTGAGGGTACGCTGAGCGAGCTAGGGGAATAGGTCACTGGAATCATTTGCATTGGAAATCCCAAAACGCCTTAAGCACAGAGAAGCAGATCTCTAAAGGTGACATTTCAAGGAGTACAGGGTAGACAAGTGTACTGAGGCAGTTAAGGCCTGAGAATAACGGGGACTTACTGGGATGGGAGGGGCTCAACCCTAGGAACACATAAGTGCACCTTAAAAAAAGGCCAGTTTGGCCAGGCTCAGTGGCTCATCTCTATAATCCCAGCACTTTGGGAGGCCGAGGTGAGAGGACTGCCTGAGCCCACAGGTTTGAGACCAGCCTGAGCAAGTTGGCGAGACCTCATTTCTACAATAAAAAAAATAAAATAAATTAGCCAAGTGTGGTGGCACATGCCTGTAGTTCCAGCTACTTGGCAGACTGAGGCAGAAGGATCGCCTGAGCCCAGCCGGTCAAGGCTGCGGTAGCCGGGAGTGTGTCACTGCACTCCAGCCTGGGTGACCTAGTGAGACTTCAACTCAAAAAATAAAAAGATAAAATAAACAAAAGAGACCAGTTCATCCTGTAGTACACATAAAACTAGTGGGACAAAAAGAGATAGAAACAAGCAAGCAAAGACAGCTATGGAGGACTGTTTTGGTTGGTGGCATCCTTGATACCAGCGTTCCAGGGAGTGAAGGGCACATCACCAGTGAGTCCACTCTGTTCAAACTCAGAAAACAGCTGAGCACATACCACGTGCCCCTCAACCACTGCTCACCTAAATCCAGGTCACTGGAACTTGAAAATTGTTACTCAGCATCTACCTTTTCTCAAGACCTCCATCTTAGTGGTTTGAATTTTGTTTATTTCAGTGACACGGAAACTCCGTGCTTGTCTGTCCTCTGAGGGCATGCTGACTTAGCCACCTTGTCTCCTGTACCTTGCCTCACTGAATTTTCCCAAGAATCCAAAGTGAAAGGTGGGAATTAATAGCATGACAATTACTTGAGTTTTCATTGGTCAGTGATAGTTAGCCATGAAGTTAATCATTATTATTAAAGAAGGTCAGTGTAACTTAGAATTGGCAGTAGAATTGATCTTTTTCTCAAGAGAACCTCAACTCTTCAAGCCCAGCCAAGTTTTGCAGCCGTGGGAACCAGGAGGCAGGAATGAGCCGGCCCAGGTGAAGACACAGAGAGCTAATTATGGTAATTAAGCAATATGGTAAAAATAAGCAACTGCTATTGTTCCAAGATAGGCCCCATTTGGTTTGGGGCCAGATGGCGGTACAGCAGCTTTCTTTCACTTTCCTGTCGCCACAGTTTCCCTCTCTTACCTCTTCTTCCTCACCCTTTTCATTCAGAAGCAAACACCAGTGATGAACACTCATATGTCGTCTTATATTTTCATTTGCAAATATGTCGCGGGTGTGCCAGGTTCTTATCCCTCATGCCACATGTCTTCCCCTCCCCTCTGTGTGGTTTCCCCCACAATCCAATCTGGTCTCTCCCCTCCACCCCCACCACCAACCCACCCCTCGTCCCTGCCATGCTCCCCACCCTCCTCCTCTCCCCATCACTGAGACTTACTTATTTGTCTTAACACCAAACGAAGAGTTCCCCCTTGGTTCCTAAGATGATCACTCACAGAGGAGCACATCAAAGAGTCAATTTTTAAGACGGTCTCAGGAAATCTCCAAAACAACTCTGAGGCAAACGAGAAAAAAAATTATACAGAAATGTGCTTGTGGAGACAGAGAAATCAAGAAGTTCTAGCTTCAGGCATGATTTGGTCAGAAGAGAAATCCAACTGTGTGGGCAAATGGCTATTAGTGGAGGAGTTGCCCACCTCGAGTTGTACTGTGTCAAAGAAAGAGCAAGGACAGGACAGAGATGCCACCATAGGTCACACTCGTACTAGGTATTTTACGTGCATTAATTCAACTCCATTCCACAAATAGCAAGAGCCAACTATGCCACTGTGACGAGTGCGAGATAAACAGGGTATTTCTGTTTCCCAGCCTCACAGAGTTTCCAGTTTAACGGGCAATTTATACATTGTGATATGGCCTGAAAAGAGCTATGATTGAAGAAAAGAGTAAAGTCAGGGCCCATAGGAGGGAGGGAGTCCCATCCAGACAGTGAAGGAGGGCTTCTGGAGGAAGTGACATCTCAGCTGGGGAGGAAAGGCTGGACCGGGGCTATCCAAGCAAAAACAGGGATTGGGAAGGAAGGGGAAATTGAGTCTTGACTATAACTCTGTGAAATATGTGTGACTAGTTCTATTCCCCAGTAAAGTAACCAAATCTCATAGGATTAAAAAAGTCACCCAGGGCCACAATTCCAACCTAGATGTAGGCTTGGTTCTCAGGACAGCAGAAGCCCACAGCAGTGGTTCCTTGTACCACCACTCCAGGTTTCTGGCTACACCTCACCTCTCCACCTGCTCTAGGCTCTCAGAAAAGCACCTGTCAGTGTGGAAATGCCTGACCAGAAAGGAGGGCAAGACAATGCTATAACCAGACCAGGGAATTTTTTTTTTAATTAAGAAGTAGGTTTATTAAAGGAAAGATACATCGTGAAGGGCACAAAGGGCAGGACAACAGCAAGAGTGTCTGCTATCTGCTGCCACCCCTGGGGATTTTATCACATAGCCACAAGGCCTCCAACCAGAGTGTGTCCTCCAGATTCACCAAAGAGTTCTTATACATCCTCTCCCTCCCCGGATAAGCTCTGGTGTCCAAGCAGCACACAGTAAGTTAACTGGTTTATGAGAAAGTTCATGCAAATGGTCTCTAAAAGCAAAAAAGCAACTTTATTTAGAACTGACCTGTCACAAATACCTTTAAAGCAAAGACGTCTTTCAATCAATGCTTGCAATATCTTTCTCTTAAAGTAAGGCACACCTGGATGACGGTAAGTTGGCTTTTCATCTCACAGCAAATCTCAAGAGATCAGAGACTGTTGGAGCCAGTCAGAGGAAAGTGACCTTGATAAACAGGTGCCTTTCATCTTGGCTCCTCTCACATGCTCGAAATACTCTGAGGAAAAAATTAAACGACTGACGTAAATGTCACTAAGTATATTTATTTAAAAACTAATGGCATAATGCAAACACTGTAGATATTAATGAAGGAATAGAACAAACGTTTGGCTTTTCTCTTTACTTAGTGATATGAAGCTTGTTTGGGGACCTACTTGCCAGATTTAAGCGCAATCTCTTGCAGGTTGTACATAGGTCCTTCCAGGCAATACAGGAATAAAGGTGAGATGCAGATGTATAAAAGTTCTGTCTCTCAGAGGTCTGTGTATGGTGCAGGTAACAGAAGGTAACACAGCTAATGCTTTACTTTTCAGTCTGGACCTTGAATGTCAATGTACATCCTTGCTCGCCAGGCAAGGCAAGGAAGCATCAGAAAGCAGGACTGTACTTTCAAGGGAATTCCTGCAATGGAGGTGCTGACCAGGAGCTCACATGCCTGCTGACTGGTGTGGAGATTTCAGGAAGCCACGAGAAAGCCTCATTTTGGCGAGGCATTTCTTTTTCCTCAGTCTCCTCTCCTTCTTTCCACAGCAAAGCTCAAAAAGACCTCTATGGGGGAAGCACTTCTGGCTATGGTTCCTATGGCCATCAGCAGATTGCCAAGGCAAGCTCTGACTCCAAACAAACCCCAGCTGCCTGAGGTCTCTTTTTGTAAGCCTAAGATATTCCCCTGACCTAATGCTCATCACACACATTTCTGTTCCTGTAGAAGCAAGGATCACCCAAAGCCCCACCAACAACTAGTCCTTTAAAGTTCTGCCTTTCCTCCTACATTTTCCATATCTCTTTGCTCCTGAAGGTATCTGATCTGAATTAATACCTGTATCAGTGGTCTTCCTCTTATTGCATGACTCTCCTCTGCACTGCCCCGTCCCCACCACCAGTGTCGAATCTGAAGTCAGTTGGAGATAAGTCTATGAGCTCAAAACCAGGCCTGTTATTTATTACATGTAAGTGGTTCACATTTGTATTATCACATTCTGGAGCTGGCATCTGGTCTCAACTGCTTCCTCTATCTGCCTCTACCCGCTCCTCCCTAGCCCCTAACACATTCACACACTAGAGCCCTTGACCAAAGAGTGGAAATAACACTTGGCTTATTTCTAGTTCTTATATTTGGATTTGTTCTCATTTTCAACAAGGTAGAAATAGTGACTGGAAATAAATCAAGACATGAGAGTGGGAAGACAATTATCACATAATAACCACCTTTAAAAAAATTTTTTTTGAGTAAGCAGAATTTATTGAGAGAACAGAGAAACTCCCACAGTGGGAGGGGACCCGAAGGGATTGCCCAATAACCACCTATTTTGGTCTCGTTGTTCCTCCTTGCCTAGAGTAGCAGTTATGAGCATCTACTTCGACAGGTTGCCCAAGTTCATACCCCAGATTTGCGCTTACTATTAGCATTGAAGCCTCGGCCACATTGTCTGGCCTTTGCACCTCTGTTTTCTCATCTGTAAAATAGGAAAAACAATGTAACAACCTCATGGGGTCATTTCAAGAGTCAAAAGACTAAATATGGAGTAACTGCATAATGAACATTTGTATTCCTAACCCTGAATTGTATTCCATATCTTTAAAATTAAAAAATTTTTAAAAATACTAAATTTGTGCAAAGCACTTAGCATATCATAAGACATAACAAGCATTGGCTATTATTATAGTAGGAGAGATATGCTTTGATCTCAGCTAGTACGGCTGCTACTTAAAAAATGTAAACAATTATTTATTTATCCTTGATATCAAATTTCGAATTTTCCTTTAGTTTAATGTTACATTGGAGGTATAGGAAATATTTTGAGATTTATGCTGTAGAAAAGCTATGCATGGATGAAAAACATTTACAAAGTGCACATGAAGTTGGGTAGTTCCTCCTTGTGAATGCGAAGAGCCTGGAAATCAGGCAGATTCACCTGGGATTTCTTTGTGTAAAGATGAATTGTCTAGCCAGGACATGAGCCCTGGTATCTATAAATAAATCTTTCTTCAAATCATGTTGATGGAAGACAACCTTTTGTATTGTGGTTTTTCATGGAAATAATTGATGCTATTACATCTCTAGAATCCTTATCCTAAGAACTTATCTATAATTTGCCCCCACATTTACATTCTATCCCTGTCTAAATGGCATTAAATGTCCAGTCACAAGGCAGTGGTCAGAGCAAATGCAATCCACGTGTACATGAAGAGTGCCATGTTCCTAGACAGTCAGTGCCGTTATTGGCAGAATTAATGAATGAAACAGTTCAACAGTGAAGCAATGAGCTGTTGCAGCAGAAAACATATTTTGCTTGGAAATTATAGATGATTTTCCAGACAACACTTAATCTAAGAGTTATTATGTCCACACATAAAGCCACACAATTGCCTCCCCAGCAATAGTACAATTTCACAGACGTTCACGGGCATTTTATAGCAGATATCTGAGAAAAGGCACCCATGGTACCAATATGCCTTGTAGAAGAGTTGCACTTGCTGCATTCCCAGTATTTGCTCACTTCAAGTGGTAGGACAGCCCTGATCTTTTTAAATTAGTAATTCCATTTTTCTGAAATCAAGAGAACTAAGTCCTGGCTTTTCTCAGCTAATGAGTATCTAAAGGCAAAATTCTAGGACTTGTTTTAGATATGATTTCCTTTCATCTCCAACCTATACCATCAACCTTTGGGATGTGGGTAGGTACAAGGGTCTGAGCTTCCCCATGTCCTATGTCTGAAACTTGCCTTGAAAAGTTCTCTGTCTCTACTGTTCTGGCTGCTGGCCAGACCAAAAGTTCAACTCAACACTTATTTTATTGCTCTACCGTGGGCTCAGGCTCCCTCTGCTTTCTTCTTTGTTTGCTCTCTGAGAAGGATTGACTTTGATCCCTTCCTGCCTAAAGACAAATATCAAGCCACCTGGTCGACCAAAAAGCCCCACCCTTGACCCCACAGAGTCAAAGTCTTCAATCAGCAACTTTCTCTCCTTTATTGATGATACTCCTAATATTTTGGCTGAAATGCACAGATCATACATGGATCTCAAAACTTGTCTCATATACATTGTTCCCTCCTGGTCCGACTATTTCAATCTTCAATAATATCAGTAGCTAATGCAAGCCTTCTCTAGACTCTAGATCTCAATAACTTGCTTGACTCTTCTCAGCACATCAAAGGATGGTATTTATCATGCCTTCATGGATTTAGAAAGAAAAAATAACTTTAGCTCAGCATCTTTTTACAAAGATCATCTGCCTGGAGGAAGCAATAGTCCCTTTGCTCTTTGGATTTATTTATTCATTGTTGCTATCTACCAGTGGGAATGAAAGGTCATCAGAGACTGTCTATGGTTGAAGAAAAACCTGACCACACTATCAATATCTATCAACATAGTACTACCACATCTGTTGTTATTGATCACACATAAGAAGATGGAGCAGTAACTTCTGAAATACACACTAGAGCCACTCAAAAGTGGAAGATTCTACAGAATCAGAGATTTTCTAGCCAAATTATAATGAATTCATGATCCATAACGAAAGAATTTGTTAGCCCATGTTCTGAATAAACTTCCTACTTGCTTATGCAAGAATGTAGAATACCTCAGGAGGCAGAAACATCTTCTGAAGACAGCTTTTGGAATAAAAACAGGTGCTAACATCTGCCTTTAACACATAGAAAGAAACTGAAATCATATAGATGTTCTTAGAATTTCAGATCCAGCTTCTCAAAGTGTACCTGACCTGATTTGGAAAAAGAACAATAGATTCAGCAATTCAAAAGCTGATGGCTCTGTCTTTAAAACCCAACCGATTGTAAATAAACGTTATCACTTCCCTTGTTTTCCACTGTTTACTTTCCAACTTTGAAGACTCTTGGTACACCAGTGGCATTGTTGGAACACGGATAGCATGAAGATTCTAAGGGGGAAAGATCGGCCACTCATTAATAATGGTGACTCGTTCAAAGCCAGATACTTACTTAAAACATTCCACAGGTATGCCATGGAGACCTCTTCTGCACCCTACACAGAGTTTAATGCTTAACCACGCTATGGTTCAGTGGCTTCAGTTCTGTCCTGCCTCGCAGCGTGTACCCAAACCTCTCATAAGTTAATGGATCATTCATCACACTGGATGTTTCTTACCTCACTCGCTTTTCTAGAGTTCAGGATTTGCTGCCAGTGTTCCCACTTTTCCATAAAAATTAATACAGCAATGTCAGGAACCGGTATACTCTGAAAACATCTAGCAATCAAAATTCCACATTTAAAACCTTAAACCCAATGAATATTAATCAAAAAGTATATAAAAGAAAGAACAAAAAAAGGGGTGCTGTGCATAGTTCTCGTGAACCAATTTTAATTGTTTTCCACTTCCAAAAATGTAGAGATAGTGACTCAAAATCAAAGCGCTAAATGAGCAAGAAAAAAATGGTATTTTAATGAAGACGTTTAATTCCATTGATTTTTCATAAACTATTCAATTTAATTTTCTCAGCAACCCTGCAAAGTAGGCATTATTGTCCTCATTTTACAGAAAATAAAATTGAGTCTTAGAGATGTTACTTGCCCCAATTTACACGTACTAAATGCATATATAAGCGTTATATACTATATATAGCATCAGGATTCAAATCCAGGAACACTCAACCCGAAACTTTTCCACTAAACACATACTACTTTCCTAAAACTAATCAATAGTGCCATTATTGGGACCATCAGTCAATATCTGCCCTGTCATGAGTAATATAGTTAAACAAAATCACTGACAGTGCTTTTTTTTTTTTGAGTTGGAGTCTCACTCCGTCACTCAGGGTGGAGTGCGGTGGCATGCTCACGGCCATCCCAGCGTCGACCTGCCAGGTTCAGGAGATCCTTATGCCTCAGTCTTCCAAGTTGCCAGAACTACAGGTGTGCGCTATTGCGCCCGGCTAATTTTTTTTTATTTATTGTAGCAACAAGGTCTTGCCGAGTTGCCCAGACTGGTAGATTGCTTGAACCCACGGGTTCAGGCAA